ATGATTTATCCTCCACCGGAACGTTGAGAATGTTTAACTGGTATATATTACAGATGACCAATTGAATAGTTCAAGTATTCCTTATGAATGACTTGTCCTTCTAGTTTGCTTGGATTAGTCAAATGACATATCTATAACCAGCTAACCTAAGAAGTTACTGTGTTATGACTTAATACTACCAGTTAACCTAAGAAAGTGGCTGTGTTATGGTTTATTATGTACGCACCTACTATTATGAAGTCAATTGAATAATTTAAGTATTCCTCATAAATGACTTGTCCTTCTGGTTTGCTTAGATCACCAGTTAACCTAAGAAGTGACTGTGTGATGATTAATATATATCAGACCTATTGGTTGACTTGCTAGTAACATGGAAGTTAATTGATGTAAGGTAGCATATTAAGTACTTGACCAGTATAATGTATATGGAATCCTTAAACTGAAGAATACTTTTTATATTATTGTCTTGTATACAGTTTATCTGCGACCAACCTTTTAATTAAACTAATTATCAATCTAAGCTCACATCACAAGCTATCACATGTTGTCCTATTCAAAATATCAACTTTATTATTTTTTTTATTTCCTAAATTACACACACTCTTCGTGGGATCGATACTTGGACTTAAAACCGAGAAAACTACAATTTGACCACTTATACTTGGATGTTTAATATAAATCTAATCACCAAAAAGTGCGAATCACTTCCTCCAAGACCATGAGGAGTTTGGAGGCACTTTAACATTCCGTTTGATAGGAAGGATGAAAAGTATGAGGGATACACTTTTTATCCTTCATGGATGAAAAGTAGGAATGATACAATTTTCTTCTTTTGTGTTTGGTTGGATGGATAGAAAATAAAAATGACTAATTTTTTTAAAATTTTTTTTGCCTAATATTAGGGGTGACAATCGAGTCGTGTCGGTGTCAGATTCATGTTGAATCATAAAATTATAAGCTTTTATATCTCTTATTCGCGTGTCAGGTCATTTAGTTCGTGTCGAGTTATAATCAAGTTCGTGTTATAAAATTCATGTCGAGTTCGAGTCATGTCATCGTGTTGAGTCGAAAATTTTCACCCATAATTAAGATGAAAAAATATATTTTTTTTAATTTAAATTTTTTATTTTTATTTTGTATTTTTTTAATATATATATATATATATATATATATATATATACATAATATATAGACAAATAAAATATATCTCAACACAAATAATTAACTTTTCATCCACTTTTCTTCCGATTTTGGAGGAATTGATTTTGGTGAGTTGGAAGGAAAGTTAATTCATTAACTTTTTCATCCTTCTTATTTTTCTTCCTTATCAAATATGATGTTTTATTTATCCCTCTAACTTTCCATTCTTCCAATCTTTCATCCTTCCATTTTTTCATCATACCAAACAGAGCATAACATGCTAGAAAATCCTCACATTTAGCAGCTACTTCTCAATCAAATCAATTCATATGGAACTATCAGATTTATTAATTATATTCCATAAGTGTTTTATAATAACTTCCTTGTTCTATGTCTGAACTCCTTTTATCCCAAGTACCCCTCCTTTTTTTGGTAGACAAAGAGTTCCCCATGCAACTTTATAGACTTTAATCTTGCTCTTGACCACAAAAATTTGCTCATTACTTGTGTTCAACAGGTAGCAATAACATGCCTTGGTAAAATGAAAATTGAGGACCAGTAAACATATATAAAGAATAATACATAATTTATAAGCTGAACCCTTCCAGCAGAATGACAAGAACAGTTTCGAACATTTCTTGCTAATAAAAACTATTCCTATTCTTCTTATTCTCTATTAAAAACTTTCACCGCAATGAAAAAGGAAATGAATTTCATTGTTTATTGTTTAGTATCCTCATATTTATTGAAATTGTAGAGAAGAATTGAATTTCATTATTCAATTTCATTGTCACTGGATTTTGAAACTGAACTATGTCAAAGAAATTTCACTATGCTAAAGTTTTTGGAGAAAGAGGGTGCAAAGAAAGAAGGTAATTTTGGATAGTACAATATTTATTTCACTAATATTAGGAAAAAGGCTGTGTGAAGTCTATTCAATCTGATTTATCAAACAGCTGAATAGTTCAAGACATCACGTTCACTATATAGCTGACAAGTTCGATGGGCTTTACTAGGGGCAGTTCAAGGCCAAAACTACATATCTCGATGCACGATTTTTTCAAAGATGTACTCTCTATAGTGTGTCAGTATTATCATTTGCATACTAACAATCAATTTTTCATTCATGTGGGAGATTGTTGGACTAAAATAGATTTTAGTAATTAAAATATGATTTTTGGTAGAATTTGAGTCTAAATTAAAGTGGGACCCACTCGTTCTTTTGAATAAAATTTCGTGAGTTCGTGTTATACTCCGTGAAGAGAATAACGTCATATATTCACTTGTTCAAATCGAGTGAGAAATGAATGAGAAAATAGGTTCCAAATGACCCTCTTGAAATAAGAAAATAGAGGTTGTGTAATGTGGGATTTGACTTCAATCTCACATTGGTTGAGGAAGAATTTCTACATGGACATATATAACCTAAGTTTGCTCTATGGGATGGGGCCCTAAGGGGTACTACAATTTCATGAGCAGAGCGAGTGCCTACATACCATCGGTTAGGCCGAACGTGTGTTCTCTTCACCGGCCGAGCTCGGGCACAAGCACGGGTGTAGGTGTGGTTTAGACTAAGCTATATTTTTTTCGAGAAAATTCGTTTAAAGAATTAGGCGTGAATTTTTGAACCGAAATTTAATTTTGGTACATGTTGAATTTGAATTGGCATTGGTTCGGATTTTTCTTCTTCCTAGTTTGAATTTTTGAGTAGTGTCTGTTCATAGAGGACAGTTACACGTTGGTATTTTCTGGTTGCATGTATGTCTTCTGGGTTGTCTTTTTGCATCGTGATTGTCCAGAACAGTCACTAGTTTGTCTATATAAACCCAAGCTCATTTTCATTCTGCATCAATTATTTTCGGAGTTAAGGCAGATATTTAGTACATTACATTTCGACATTAAGACAATTTTTNCTATATAAACCCAAGCTCATTTTCATTCTGCATCAATTATTTTCGGAGTTAAGGCAAATATTTAGTACATTACATTTCGACATTAAGGCAATTTGTATTTGGAGAGTACACAACATAATTTATGGTTCGCTGTGCGAGTAGATTGAAGTACTACTTTTATTTGCTTGAAGATTATTGTAGTCTGTGAGACAGATGCTTTGATTTCTATAAGCACAAAGTGTGAGGGTAAAATCTGTGTTAAGGACATAGTATCAAACACTGACTTTGATCTACTTAAAGTTTAATAATAATTCCTGTTTTGCAAACATGTCAGTTTATCTTTTGTTTAAATTATAAATTTATTGCGTTACTGTTTTATTCGTATCTGTAACTATTTCGTACATACTATTATATAACTGTTTCATTCTTGATTGCTACTGTTTTATTTTAAACTACATGTTTCAAATCAAAAATTTCAATAAGTGATTTTATTATATTTGAAATACCACAAACAACGGATACTGCATGTCAATGTTTGTTTGAAGTAGCTTTTTGGGTAGGGCTAATCTCACTTTACACCCCTAAAAGATTCTTCAATTTTTAATTTATACCCTCAAATTTTAAAAATATCAATTTGTGCCATCAATGTTATTAATTGGTAGCAATATGAACTTGACCAAGATTGTTGTTCAATTTTTCGTCATAAATTGAAGCACGTGAGTTGCTAGTGCTCTGGAAATAGACTTATATGTAAATTCACAAACTATTGGCGTCTCATGTGAGTTTCACATGATAGGGTTAGCCTCTATCTGATTATCGAAATCCTATTTTTCGATAGAGAAAATAATGTCAAATTGATCGCAAACAAAGATTTACAATGGTGGACATACCTTATCCTCATACCTAAAGCACTTGCACCTCACGTTATTCAATTTATGATGAAATATTGAACAATCTAGTTGAGGTCCACATTGCTGTCAATTCACAACATTGAGGTGTAAATTAAGATTTTTAATATTTGAGGGTATCAATAGAAAATCAAAACATGTTTTACGGTACAAAGTGAGATTAGCCCTTTTGGGTATAACTATCATTTGGTTGATCGTTAAAGATGAAGTCGTTTTTTGGGTATAGCTTTCACATGATTCTTTTTCTGCAGTGTTAGTCCCAACCTCTCCTCCATGTTCAGAGTCCTTGGAGCAGCACCACCTGTGAACTCCCAGTCAAAAGTTTGCACTAGGGCTGCCAAAGTAAGATGAACAACTCGATGAGCCAAGTGGAATCCCATGCAGATCCTTCTCCCAGATCCAAATGGAATTAACTCAAAATGTTGCCCCTTATACTCAACATTCAAGTTCAAAAACCTCTCTGGCTTGAAAGTTAAGGGATCATCCCAAGACTCTGGGTCCCTTCCAATTGCCCAGGCATTCACTAAAACTTGTGTGTCTTTGGGTATGGCATAACCCATGTAGTTAGTGTCTTCCATTGTATTTCGTGGGAGGAGTAGGGGAAGTGCGGGATGTAATCGAAATGTTTCCTTCACAACAGCTCGTAAATATGGCAGGTTATCCATGTCGCTCTCTTCAACTTTTCTCTCGAGTCCAACGACTCCATCAATCTCTTCTCTAACCTTTTTGAATGCGTGAGGGTTACATAGTAGCTCTGCGAAGCCCCATTCGATGCTGATGCTTGTAGTTTCTGACCCAGCCAAAAACATTTCCTGCACTGGCTATAATCACTCAATAATGTGACATTGGATAGTAAATATCAAGATCAATATATATGTTCATGTAAGGGTAATGATTTTTGACACGATGAAACAGGATTCACAGTATGATAGATGTTAGGGTTGGCTATTTTTTAAGACAGTTAAAAATGACATGACTTAGTAACATAAATAACAAATAGTGTAAAACACAAATAATTCAACATCAATCCTTGTAAAATAAATACTTTTTATTATTATATTTAGTGAATTTGAAGCCTATCAAAAATCTGAGTATAGTAATTTCAAAGGTAACTTAAGTGATAACATGCACGAACTGTAAATTTAAACGTTCTGAGTTCGAATCTTAGCAATTCCTTGGAGTTTTAGAATACCTTAGTCTCGTTTACCTTTGACTGGATCGGAGAAGAAATTAATTAAAATACGTGCAAATTGACCTAGACAACTCTCACCGTTAAATCAAAAAAAAATGAGTATAGTTTTGATTGAGAGATAATAGAGTCTTAATTTTTTTTATTTTTGATTGATGGGTTATACGTATCGATTCAAACATGACATGATAATATACTAACCGACTTAATATTATAATATCTGACACAATTACTTGGATAAGAGTTGATCGGTGTTCACCAAGAATCCAACTTAGTACGACCGAAACACCACTCGACAAGAGAAATCCTACACCTTGTGCCGGCACATCAGTGCCAGTCTTATCCATAGGCAAGTGAGGCGGTTGCCTAAGGACCCTAATTACCTAAGGCCCGTTCGCATGTATTTTATAAATTATATTAATAAATTTTAACAAAATAAAAAATTAAGATGTTTTGTAAAAAAAATCAAAAAGATTTTAAAAATATTGTTCTTTAAATTATAAACATTTGTTCATTCAAAAAGCCAAAAAAAAAAAATCACACCATATTCTTGTACAAAAAATTATAAGGTTTTACATTCTTATTTTAGATGAATTTGCAATAACTCTAACCTATTTATTCAGTTTTATTTTATTGAATAATAATAATCAGTTACACAATGTATTTGTTTTGTAATTTATTTTTCAATTTAAATATATATACCTATAAAAATAAATAAATTTAAATATTTAAAAATTAAAATAAATAAATTATTCATCTCAAAATAATTTAGAGCCCCATCTAAAAATTTTGCCTTGAGCCATAAATATTCTTGGGCCGGCCTGCGGCACATACAAAAAACGAGTAGACAATATGCTTACCATTATGACACTGTTCACATTCTTCTCTGTAATCCTAACAGGCCCATCTTTTCCATAACCTTCATACTCCAGCAAGGCATCTAGGAAGTCTTTCTTTCCCTCAACTTTTCCTTCTTTCCTCTTTTGAATCCTCTCCTGGACAAACCGGGACGATATCCTCATTGTTTTCGCCATGTTCCTAATCATACTCCTCTTCATCCCCAGTGGGTCGATCCTTTTCAAGAATGGCAGAAAATCGGCCACATTAGGTGTCCTCAAAACCTCCAACATGACATTCATTGAATCAAAAAACTCACCCCCTTCAGGGTCCTTATTGTCTAACAGATCTCTTGACAGCATGAGGTTGCCAATAATATCGAAAGCCATAAGAAAGAGGAACCGACTCAATTGCACCTCCCCAGTTCCTCCCCGCGCACGCGACGCTGCTGAATCCTCTTCAATCCACCGGACCATGTTGTCCTTGATCCTCCTTCGAAGGTCAATCGTCTCATTCATTCGTTTGCTAACCAGAAACTCCATGGAGCATATCCGCCTCAGCGCCCTCCAGTAGCCACCGTAAGTGTTCATACCTAGTGTTCCCCGGTTAAAATCGAAGACAGTTAGCATATCAGGAGCCTTTCGGTCACAGAAAGCAATGNCTCAGCGCCCTCCAGTAGCCACCGTAAGTGTTCATACCTAGTGTTCCCTGGTTAAAATCGAAGACAGTTAGCATATCAGGAGCCTTGCGGTCACAGAAAGCAATGTCGTGTTTCTTGAAAAGTATGGCGGCGGCAGTGGCATTCTGTACAACCATGGTGTTGATTGAACCAAGTTGTAGCCAAATAACAGGGCCATATTTGCTTTTGAGCTTGTACAGGGTCTGGTGTGGTAAGTCACCAAGGTCGAACAGGTTGCCAACTATGGGCCATCCTGATGGCCCTGGTGGTAGTTTTTTTGAAGAGGCACTCCTGGCCTTGACCAAGCTTAGCAACACAAGAAGAAGAAAAACAACTGAGACAGAAACATTCAGCATATTCACTGAATTCCAAAACCATTCCATTTTGGGTTTGATCTCTCTCATTCACCAAAAATTTGTATGCTAACAATGCAACTGATTAGGTATATAGCATATATAGGGCAAAATACATTATGGGTCCCCAAATTAATTATGGGTTTTGTGTAAGTTGAGTCTCCTACATTTTAACTCTGTTAATTTAGTCTCTCAACTATTTAATTTATATCAATTTAGTCTACTTGAAATCCGCAATTTAAATTGACTAACATGCTACACTTGGGCTATAGGGGACATAGACCGTAAGTGCGAATGACCAAATGACACAAATTATAAATTTGAAGGATCAAAGTAATCCTTTAAGGGTATTTTTAGTTTAGGTATTAAGGGGGTAGATTGGATTAATTTAATCCGATAATAAAATAATACTAAGTTTTGATAAAGTTATAGCAACCCGGTATTAATTTAATTAATCACAATCCGGTTCACAATTGTTATTTAACATCTAATATTATATAGTAATAAATATCATGTAGTAGGTGATATTATATTTAAAAAGTTAAATATTAAAAATGTAAAGACTTTATTATCCTTACAAACTTAGAGTTACANATCTAATATTATATAGTAATAAATATCATGTAGTAGGTGATATTATATTTAAAAAGTTAAATATTAAAAATGTAAAGACTTTATTATCCTTACAAATTTAGAGTCAAATTTTCATATAAAAGTTACATATTATGTAAATTCTTATTCTCAATATTTGTTTTGATATTTTTAATTTAATATTATATTCTATTACTTAATTCAAACATAAATTTGGTATTATAATTATAAATTTGTATATTATCCCAACATTGAGCCAAACTTATTGTACAATGATAATATTAAATAGTACACTTGTTAACACTATTTTATAAATTGGATGAGAACTAATCACCCAATTTCATCATTTATTTATATTTAAACCAAACATACCCTAAGTACAGTCCCATGAGGCACAAGTGACCGCCTCTTTTAGTTAACTTAAATCACTGTTTTTTTTATTGGACAAAAATGACACGAATTAAAAATTTAAGGAAAGAAAATTACATAATTAAAAAAATANAATTTCATCATTTATTTATATTTAAACCAAACATACCCTAAGTACAGTCCCATGAGACACAAGTGACCGCCTCTTTTAGTTAACTTAAATCACTGTTTTTTTTATTGGACAAAAATGACACGAATTAAAAATTTAAAGAAAGAAAATTACATAATTAAAAAAATAATATTAAGATCAAATGTCACAAAGTACCTACTTGGCAGACTATTTATGCATGTAGCCTTCAATCATCAAGTTGGCTTTAGGAATTATAAACCAACAAAAGAAATGTGGGTATTAGAGCATTTTCAATAGTGCTCTTTATCTTAGAGAGAGTTTCTTTTTCCTTTTTTCTTTTTTTTTTAAATAGAGAATATCTTAAATAAAATTTTGAAATAGAGAGTGAAATTTTTTTGATAAATTCAATGGACCCGCTATTCTAGTAAAAAAATAGTTTTATAGTCAATAACATTTTAATGAAGAATATATACGTGTCACTTTGTCATTTATTAAAAATAGAATAGAGTGAGTTGAGCTCTCCAAACGTAGATAGCCAAATAAAGATTTTTATTTTAGTTAGTATAAAAGCATCTCCAATGAGCTCTTTATCTTCACTCAAATATCTATTTTAGAGAGTTAAAAAATAATCTCTAATAGCCTCTTTACTTAGGCTTTCTAAAATAAAAAGTTCAATTTAACTCTCTACATTTAGAGAGTCAAATTCACTTTGTACTCTATTTTTTCAAAACAAAGAAAGGGTGTATCCGTCTTTTCGACCAAAAAGTTTAGGATAAACACCATTTACATCAAAAACAAATCTCTCCCCGTGACTCCCGTCTTCTTAGTCTCGAAATGGGATATTCGAAGAAACAAAGTAAACAACATCACGATTGGAAATTAAAATAATTTTTTTAAATGTTTCTCTCGGTTGATTCTCCATTGCTGCCATTCAAGGAATATGAGAGGGGGTTGAAACAAGATGGAACAGACATGGCCGAAGGCTGGAACGAATCATGGGAAACTGTGGATGAATAAAATATTTAAAGTTTGGTAAAAGAATAAAGGAAAAAAAAATGGGAAGTTAAATTTATTCTTAAAAAAGACAAAATATAAAATAGTAAAGATACTTTCTATTTTAACTTTTGAATAAAGATAAACTTTAGGGTAATTCTATGGTACCAACTTCGGTACCGTATCCTCAGTTATTATTTTTTTGATAAAGTTATAATTCAAAATGAAGAAGTTATAACTGTTCAAAGAAATTTATGATTGATCAAGGGTCCATGATCGATTATAGACACACATGATTGATCATGGACTTCCACTGAACAGTTGTAGTTTCTCTCTTTTGAGTTGTAACTTGAACTTTAAAAGTTATACCTTACACCTCAAAAAAATTATAACTTAACTTAAAATTGTTATAATTTTCGATACGGTACCTCTTTCAGTCCCATAGCCTTTCCCTACTCTTTATTTTGAAAAAAAAAAACTCTCTATTTCAAAAATTACTATTGGAGATACTTTAACTATCGGAACTTGATTTTTGGTGATTAACTCTATAATAAAATATTAAACTATTTTTTGTCGGGCTTATCCGTTAGCCAATCTCCATTTGACACGTTAGCAAAACACCAAAAAGAAGGCGCCTTGGTTTTAGCGTGTTAAATGGAGATTAGGTACCAGTAAACATTGGCGTTAACGGGCAAGATGACTCATGGATCCCATTGGATATTAAGACATACATATAATCCAACAATAGTAGTTTATTTCAACAACAAATCTAAATCGTAAGGAATTGTCAATAGTACCGAAGACATAAAAAATCGACACCAATTATATCGATATTTATCATATTTGTGAATATTTTTATTATTGTTATTGGTATTTTTATCGCTGTTGTGGTTTCAAAAAAAGTAAATGTGATAAAAATATCCAAAAAAAATGGTAAAACTAATTAACACAATAGTAATAAAAATACCCATAAAAATTATAAAAATATTTATTAAAATAATAAATTTTAAAGGTACGATACTGATTTTTTTTTTAGGTACTGTAGTCAAGTCCAAATCATAAAATCGATTCAAACAACAGAAAAATATAAAATGATAACATAATAGGGGCTTATCATCAATACTGCTTATTGGTGGTGTTTTCTTTCGAGAAACGTAATTGTGGAATAATTTTCTGATCATTTTATTTATCGTAGTTGTACAATATATATAATACAAACACTAACAAGGAAAGAATAAAAGATTACAGAGAAATATCCTACAACTATCGAATAAAATAAGATTACATAATTAAGGATATTGACCAAATCATAACCTTAATTTTAGCACTCCCCCTCAAGTTGGAGCATGTATATCGCACATGCCTCACTTGTCTAAAGAGTGACCGAAAACACTGCTTGCGATAGCTTTGGTAAGGACATTGGCTAGTTGGTTTTCAGACTTCACAAACGGAATAACAATGATTCCGGCTTCAAGTTTTTCCTTGATGAAGTGTTTATCAATTTCCACATGCTTCGTTTGATTGTGTTGGACTAGATTATGAGCAATCTCTACAGCAGAAGTGTTATCACAATACAACTTCATTGCCTCCTGAGAGTGAACACCCAAATCCTTAAGCAAGTTCCTCAACCATAGTAACTCACATACTCCAAAAGTAATGCCTCTATATTCAGCTTCTACACTAAATTTTGCTACCATTGGTTGTTTTTTACTCCTCCAAGTCCCAAGGTTGCCTCCTACAAAAGTAAAATGTCTTGATGTAGAATTTCTGTCGTCAGATAAACCAGCCCAATCTGCATCAGTGTAACTTTCTACCTTCAAGTAATTATTCTTGCTAAACAACAACCCTTTACCCAGAGCAGACTTTAAATATTGCAATATGCGTTCCATAGCATCCATGTGAGGTTTACGAGGATCATGCATAAACTGGCTCACTACACATACTAAATAAGCAATATTTGGCTTAGTATGGGACAAATAAATTAATTTTCCCACAAGTCTCTGATATCTGGCTTTATCAGAAGTACTTGCATGCCAACAATTAAACAACCTCTGATTTTGTTCAATAGGGGTATTCACAAGCTTACATCCAAGCATACCTATTTCAGTTAACAAATCAAGAATGTATTTTCGTTGAGATAAGAAAATATCATTCTTTGAACGGGCTACCTCAATTCTAAGAAAGTGTTTTAAATCTCCAAGTTGTTTCATTTCAAACTCTAACATCAAGTGTCGTTGTAAGCTCTCAATTTCTTCTTGATCATCTCCTGTCACCACCATGTCATCAACGTATATAATCAAAGCAGTAACCTTACCCATTCGATGTTTTAAAAATAAAGTATGGTCTGAGTTGCTTTGTTTATATTCGAAGCTCTTCAGAGACCTAGTAACTCTATAGAACCAAGCTCTTGGAGACTGTATTAATCCATACAATGCCTTTTTGAGTTTGCGCACCATTGTAGCATCTGAGTATTTTTCCACACCTGGAGGGGGATCCATATACACTTCCTCTGTAAGATCTCCATGTAAAAAAGTATTTTTTACATCAAATTGAAGAAGTGGCTAATCTCGGTTCACTGCCAAAGATAGGAGCACTCTAACTGTATTAAGTTTGGCAACAGGTGTAAAAGTGTCCTGGTAGTCAACCCCATAAGATTACGTATATCCTTTAGCGACCAATCGAGCTTTATACCTCTCAATCATCACATCCGCTTTATGGTTAACCGCAAAGACCCATCTACATTCCATGGTTTTTTTTCCTTTCGGTAAAGTCACAAGCTCCCAAGTATCATTTTTCTCAAGCGCTGTCATTTCTTCTGCCATGGCTTGAGTACATTTATCATCTGCTAGAGTTTTCTGTATTTTACTAGGAATAGAAATAGATAATAACTGTAGCACATAAGATGCATATGACTTGGACAGTTTTTTGACAAGACACGTGATTACTA